TCTATCTATCTATCTATCTATCTATCTATCTATCTATCTATCTATCTATCTATCTATCTATCTATCTATCTATCTATCTATCTATCTATCTATCTATCTATCTATCTATCTATCTATCTATCTATCTATCTATCTATCTATCTATCTATCTATCTATCTATCTATCTATCTATCTATCTATCTATCTATCTATCTATCTATCTATCTATCTATCTATCTATCTATCTATCTATCTATCTATCTATCTATCTATCTATCTATCTATCTATCTATCTATCTATCTATCTATCTATCTATCTATCTATCTATCTATCTATCTATCTATCTATCTATCCTATCATCTATCCATTATCTATCTATCTATCTATCTATCTATCTATCTATCTATCTATCTATCCTATCTATCTATCTATCTATCTATCTATCTATCTATCTATCTATCTATCTATCTATCTATCTATCTATCTATCTATCTATCTATCTGTCTATCTGTCTGTCTATCTACATATATATATCCAAAAAAAAAATATCTATTGATATCAACAAAACTATGGGGTTTTTCTAAACATTATCAATATTTTTCGGAAAGCCTAGACATTATCTATTGGAATTTTCAAGGTCCACTAAAATGGAAAGTACCTACAAAAAATGCCTGATTTCAATAGTATTGACTGATATTTAATAAAACTATAATTTAATTTTCATGAATTACATTTTATTCATAGACTAACAACAAATTCCACTCGGTGTTCTAAATAAACTGACAATTTTTTTAAGAAACTAATTAAAAAATAGTGAAAATATGATTATATACACAAAATTGAAAATAAAAATTTATTTATATAATTGATAACAATTTTTCAAGTTGAAAGTATATATATACAAACAAAATATATTTGAAACATTTAACCATAGAGAGATAACCTTGTGATTTTAAAAGCTCTTACGTACTAAAGAAATACAAATAATCTTTGTTTATTACATTTTCAAAATTTATAGGCAAATATTTGCATTAATAGAACTACTGCTTGGAGAAGTTTTTTTTAACAAAAACTATAATTTACATGAAAACTGTTTAATAATTTGTTAACACTTTATTCTGATTAATATGATTAAAATGTAAAGTAGCTATATTTAGCAAAAAATAATAAAAGGTCAGTGAATACATAAGCGTTGTTATTTTTAACTTGTATTTTACATTTTTTGTTCTCTTTAATACAAAACTTTTTAAAAACAAAGTTTGTGAAAACCCTTAGGGGTTTCATGCGGACTTTATACTATCGCCTGATAATGATGAAATCACAATAATAAAAATCTTTTATAAAGTTATTTGGATTTTGAACATTTGTAGACAAATTTATATCAAAATGTTTAAATAACTTTATAACATAAAGTACAATTATCTAAACATGTGAAGTTCAAGAGGACTTTCTGAAAATAACTTGTACCTTGTATGTATAGGTATTTATTAAAGTTTATTTGTAAATAAGTAATATTCTAACCAAATAAAAAGACCTTCAATTTTATCAGAACAAATATTTTAAATTTAAGTGTTGCCATAGATTATTCTTTCAAAATCTTAAAGATTTCCAATAAAACGTTTAAAAATTGTATATTCTGAAACTACTAATTTATGATATTTTTTTTCAAATTTATGATAATTTTTATATTATTTTCAAAATGTTTCAATACGAAATTTGAAAAATTTATTTAAATAAAAAAATACCTTGTTTCATGAATTTTTAGGATTTTGAGATTATTTTAAAGTTTTGAAAAAAGTCGCAACCAAGAGACCCAACTATAGATTTCTAAAAGAATGATGTAAATCCTTATTTAATTTCAGAATTTTTCAATCACATGATTTCAACATAACGTATTAAAATATTAAAAAAAAACTCATTTTTTGATATATTTGAGACATATTTTCAAATTTTAGCACGTTATATCTCGAAAACATGCTCAATATCTTTCTAAATGATTAAGCATTTCAGAATATCTCTATAACATCTGGTTTTTGAGGTATCATGTCCTAAAAAGTCAACTTCGTTTATAAAATCGTTATGTCATCTGTAGAAATATATAATTTGGTCTCTGGGTTTAGACTTTTTTCGAATTTTATTGGCCTGTGTTATAGCAATGCTTATAAAAAACTGTTTATTATATGAAGAAGTATATAGTAAATCATAGATAACTTCAATACAGTTCTTTTCGCATAAGAAAGCCATTCTAAATATTTAGATTTAAGTGTAAACATTCAAAACTTTGGTAACCCTTATCATTCGGACGGTATTTTTGGAATATTAATATTAACGCACATGCGCTTAAATCTCTTCTACTTTATGAATGAAAATATTTAAACGGTATTTACACATGGGCTTCGTTTTTTTTATACAACAACGGATATTAAACAAAAACAAGCCGTATATTTATATACATGTAAGTATTTTTATATATAAATTTAAAATTTGGTACACAATACCGCCATCCATATACATACATAATTTGTATTGTTTATTTAACAAAACAATAACAAGTGACAAGACTTTTTTGAACAACAACAACAACACCAAATTCCTCTTTTATTGGACTTTCATTCTAATATGCTATAAAAAAGAATACCCGTTTCTTTGTTTTGTTTTCGAAAAAAGAAAGCATATGTTTTTATGTGTTTTCTTTATATCTAAACATAGACTTATTGACCTCTATATTTGAACTTATGTAAGTTATTTGAACTTTAAATGTTACTTTTTTAGAAAAAAAACTGTTTAAATGAATAAAAAACATGTTCTTTAAAAAAAAGAAATGGTCAATGACTTAAAACTTATTAATCTTAATAGTTGTTTTTATTAAATTAAAGCTGTGAAAGTTATAATAATTTATAAATAAAGTTTTGTACCAACTCCCATAGGCTAGACAAAATTCTTCCATTTTTAATGTTAAATTTATAGATTTTGAAAATAATTTCAAAGTTTTTATAGAATTTTAAAGTATTTTCAATGTAGTTTTAAAATATAAGCTTAAAAAGTTAAAAATTGAATTGAAATTATAAAATTTCTTTAATAACTTTTTTTAAGAATTTTCTAAAGAATGTTAATAATAATTATTAACACGTAATTGACTTAATTGTTTATGTAATGAATTATAAATTAGAAATGTTATTAAGATTTTGCTTTAGAATTACGTGACTTTATGTAAATAATAAAAATTGGCAAATATTGTCGTTCTATAATTAATGTGATTTTTTTTATTTTTGAAGCAATTGCTAAAGAAATCATTGTTATTAAAACTTACAATACAATAATTGAGAAAATAATTAAACTTATAACCGTTTTATCTAATTTTATGATGACATTTATTTGAAGTAATTTGGTTTTAATAACAGTAAATAAATGATAATTTCAAGCAATTACATTTTTGAACGAATTATTTCTAGCAGCAAAAACTAAATTTTAAGGGTTTTTTTAATATCACAAGTTAAAAGGGAGTTCCATAATTATACATGATACTATGTTTTTATTATATATGTATGTCTTTAGGGTATTTTTGTCATTCTCAAAAGAAATTGCTAATGAAACCACCCTTATTATTTAAATAAATGAAAAACTATTTAAATATTGTTTTAATTTGTTTTAACCGTATATTTTCCAAAATAAAAGAGAATTTAAAATACCACTTCTTTGTCTTAAAAGTTAAATTTTGATATAAATTTTAACAATTCACCCCCCATACTCTCAATAGATGGTTAGTGATATCGTGATGGTTTAGGAATAACATAGGAACTAGTCGTTTTTAACGACTTTTGACAACAAGATACCAAGTTATACTTATTCAGTTACAAGACTAAGGTCCAGAAATAAACTACAAGGTTACTGTTAAAGACTGAAGTAGTTCCGTTCGCACCCTTTGTAGAATTAATTTTGTACTCTTTAATATAGAAATTAGAAAATCTGTTAAAAAAAAATCAAAGTATGTACCTCCCACATACAAAAAGTAAACATTTTGTAATCAAATTTCTTTTCTCTGCCTCTTATGGAATGTTTTCAATACAAATATAACCGGACAGTTATATGAATCAGTTCCAATTTAAAATTATTAAAATAAACAAAGATGTTTCCTACACAAAAAAGTCCCTTCAATCGGTCATATGTTTCCTTGGGTTTCATTTTTTACAACTATGAAGGTTAATAAATAACAAACAATAAAAAAAGCAGAAATAGGAAGTGATACTAAATCAATATTACATACATACTAAATTAAACCTATAGGGGTGGTGATAATTGGTGGTGGCAATGTCACGGGATGAACTTGTATGTATGCTGTTGTATCTAGCTAGCCCTTAGTATTAACAATAGTTTTTAATATATGTATATCAGCTGTTATTGATTGTGGTACATTTTGTATATTTAATACCAAGAATAGAGAATCATGAGTAATGGATAACACAAGATTTACAAAATAAATGGCCTAGATTTATAAATCCCAAGAAAAAAGTTCAAACATTAAGAACTATTGTGTTCTCTGTACTAAAAGAAAAAATAAATAAAACAAAACTGTATTTATTTTAGCAACATCTTCATGTACATGGTCAAGCCTTCTTGTATAATAAATATTTTTTCTTTATAAAACAATATGTACATAACTAAATAAATGATAAGACCATTGGCAAAAAAACAATAAACAAAACAGAAAACCTAAAAAATTCATCCACGTAGTTTTCTAAAGAAATGAATACAAAAACAAATCATTAAAATGTCACGTCATCTTTTGAAAGGAAAAATTACAAAAGAAAAAAATTGCAATTTAGAGAGTGTGTGTGTACGAGAGTTAGTGAGAGAGAGAAAAAAACAGAGAGTATGTTTGTAAAAGAAATGTTTGCTATTAATAATTTTTTAATTATTCTAGTAAATTAATTTAGTTGTTGTTTAAAATTTTATAACTTTTCATATTATACAATCATTTCAATGATAATTAATATATTATTATCTATAATCAAAACTTACCTAGTTATGATTGCGGTCACTTTCTTTATTAATATTGTTGTTTTTAACCAATATTATTTTTGCTAAAAATCGATTCAAGCTGTTTTCTTGGCCACAAATCTTTCGACACTTTATTAAACACTTTACACAATACCAGTTTTAATTAAAATATTTTTTTATTGGTTTGTAAAATTTTGGGCGTTTTTTATTTAGTTTTATTCTCAAAAAATAAATTTTATTCATGTGAACTTTTGTAATGTTAAGAAAATGAACACGGAACTAGCAAGAACTTCTTTCACATTTCTTCACAAGTAAAATTTTTTTTACAACTGAGAGAGGGAAATTTTGCTAGTTCTACTTTGGTTTAAAACATACTGGGTGATAGCACTTGGACAACGATTTGTGTAACGGTGAATAGTTGTGTCAAAGTCTGTATGTTGTTTTTGTTGCTTATTTATTTGTTTTATTTTGTGACAAGAGGAAATTTGACAGTTGTTTGTCATTAATGATATAGAAAATAATTTAAAATGACAACGTTACCATCTGGTAAATAACTCTTTATTTTAGAGATGTTATTCTTTTTAATAGCAGTGTTGTTGATATAGCGATTTTTAGGTTTAATTTAACGATTTTTAATATAATTTTAAGGAATTGTTATCGTTTTTTGTTTATCGATAGCTTGTTTTAAGTTAGTGGTTTTTAATAGGGTTCTATAAATCGACTTTCGAATAATCGAACAATCGACTTTTTGTCGAAAAAAGTCGAAAAGTCGAAGTCGACTATTTTGTTCCAAAAAAGTCGATAACTCGACTATCGTCTATGAAAAGACGACTTTGTAAATAAAAGTCGAAAAAAGTCGAAAAGTCGAAAAAAGTCGAAAAGTCGAAAAAAGTCGAAAAGTCGAAAAAAGTCGATAAGTCGAAAAAAGTCGAAGAAAGTCGAAAAAAAGTCGAAGAAGTCGGAAAAAGTCGAAAAGTCGAAAAAAGTCGAAAATAGTCGAAAATTTTAAAAAAAGTGGAAAAGAGGTCAAAAACTCTAAAATAGTCGGAAACACTCGAAAAAAGTAAAAAAAAGTCGAAAAAAAGTCGAAAAAAAGTCGAAATAAATCGAAAATAGTCAAAAAGTAAAAAATCGAAAAGTCGGAAAAAGTGGAAAAGTTGAAAAAAGTCGGAAAAAGTCGAAAAAAGTCGAAAAGTCGAAAAAAGTCGAAAAGTCGAAAAAAAGTCGAAAAAAGTCGGAAAAAGTCGAAAAAAAGTCGAAAAAAGTCGGAAAAGTCGAAAAGTCGACCATTTATAAAATACTAAAAGTCGAAAAGTCTAAAAGTCGACTTTTAAATAAATGAAAAGGTCGAAAAGTCGAAAAATCGACTTTTCATAAAATGGAAAAAGTCGAAAGGGTCGAAAAGTCGACTTTTAACTAAATGCAAAAAGTCGAAAAGTCGAAAAGTCGACTTTTCGTTTCAACTATAGAACCCTAGTTTTTAATTAAATTTTTAAATTCAAAATGGAATTTTAAATAAAATTTTCAAGTTATTAATTTTAAATATGTATATGTAAATAAATACTTAATTAAAGGTCTGCAAATGTGCAATGAAACAATTGTTATAAGTAACGTTGTTTATATACAAAACTACCAACCACTCAAATAAACAAAAAAAAACTTAAACTGAACAGAACTAGGACTGAAATAGAACTGAACTAGAACTGAACCAGAACTGAACCAGAACTGAACTATAACTGAACTAGAACTAAACTAGAACTGAACTAGAACTGAACTAGAGCTGAACTAGAACTGAACTAGAACTAAACTAGAACTAACCTAGAACTGAACTAGAACTGAACTAAGACTGAACTAGAACTGAACTCGAACTAGAACTGAACTCGAACTAGAACTGAGCTAGAACTGAACTAGATCTGAACTAGAACTGAACTAAAATAGAACAGAACTAGAACTGAAGTAGAACTAAACTAAATCGGAACTAGAACTAAACTACAGTTGAACTAGAGCTGAATAAAAACTGATCTAGAACTAATATGGAACTTAACTTAAACTGAACTAGAACTGTACTAGAATTGAACAAGAACTCAACTAGAACTGAACTACAACTGAAGTAGAACTAAACTAAAGTGAAACTAGAACTAAACTAGAGCTGAACAAGAACAGAACTAGAGCTGAATAAAACTAAAACTAATATGGAATTTAACTTGAGCTGAATTAAAACTGGAATTGAACTTAATTAGAATTGAACTAGAACTAAAAGAAATGAACTAGAACTGAATAAAAATTTAAAACAGAACTGGAACTTAACTTGAACTGAATTAGAAGTGAACTAAAACTAAAATAGAAGTGATCTAGAACTCATTTTTTGATCTTTTACCTTCTTGAAATAAATACAAGATTTTTTTTTAATTTATTTTAACATAAAACATTTTTATTTATGTAATGAATTTCTTTTTTAAAATGACTCATCTTTCATAGTTGTAAGTTGTATATAATATATTTTAATTTAATGTAAACTCGTTTTAAATTGTATCTGAGGATTGATTTTATAAAAATAAAATATCATTTAAAATGAAATAATTAAAACAAAAAAATGCAAAAAAATATATAATTGACCATCAAATGTTAAAATAAAAAAAAATCTCTTTACGTATTAAGTAATATAGAGTAAAAAAATTAAAGAAACACAAATCTTTGGTTAAAAATTACACTTAAACTAAAAGCTACCTTGGCAAATATGAAGTACTTGTTTTATAATTTAATAAGATTTTTTAAAGAAATTTTAATATTTAGTAAATTTCAGTACCCCAAGAGTTTGTAACTGTAATATTAAAAAATTAAATTATAATAAAAACTAATATAACATAATAAAATTTAAAAAAATTAATTAAAAATATTTCAATGACTTTTTTCTTTAGTTGCCTTACTACTTAATTGCACACAAAACTTTGTTTTTTTTTGGTTTTATTTGAATATTTATTTTCTAATAATTTAAAATTACTTTGGTTTTTTTAATTTTATTTAGTTAAAAATAAAATTTGTGTTGCACTGCTTTGGTTTGGAGATTTTTTGTTTGTTTTATAAATGTCTTTTTTGTTTGTTTGTTTGTTTGTTTGTTCATTTACTTATTTAAGTATAAATAGGGGGCAAGAATTTTTAAATTTTTTGTTCTTGGAGGGCAAGTATCTTAAGGTTTTTTATGTTTTTTTTTATCATTAAAGTTTAACTTATGAACTATGCTGGAAAAAATGAGTATTACATAACGAGATTCTATAGGTTTTGTTAAGTAAGTATTTTTTGTTGTTTTTAACATTGCGATGAAATGCCTTGTGTTATAGAGTTCTCTAAAACAATATGACATTCATCTAAAGGTTCTAATATCTGTATGAGAAATGTTAAAAGATTTTTACGTCTAAGAAAACTTTCCTCTTCGTACATTTCCTGTGTTACCTTACACAGGGCCATGGGACGTATCATGCGTGTTAGTAAATGTTCTCTGTGGAAAATAAAAACAAATATGAGATTGGAATTAAATAAAAGTTTCTTAGTTTTAATTATTACCTTAGACTTAGACATATTAGCAATTGAAATTTGCCATCTTTGCCTAAAGTATTGCCAACTTTAGTGATTTCATCCATTAGATGCACATAATAACGCCAAATGGCACATAGTTCTCTTCTCTGCAGGCTGTTGTGAGAATTTATGGAAGAGTCTAGACTAGAACCGGAATCATCCAACTGTTGTTGATCTTGCAACAAATATTGCTCAAATGTTTCTTTTATTTTGGCTGTTTAAATAAATTACATAAATTTACTTTTATTAAGCATAGTTAAAGCTAACGAAAACTTACTAAAATAATCCCATATATAAAGATTTCGACCAAAGAAACGTGTGGAACGAAAACCACAAAGAAATACATTTTCCAAACATTTCACTAGACCATCATCGCCACATAGTAAATTGGTAAAAGTGCCCACATCACGATCACGACTTGGTTTATAATGCCATTTGACTATAACATTAACACAATTACCCAATTTGTGTTGTATCTCCGATGGTGGTGGTAAATCTTGACTACGCTGAACACTGGGGCTACGAGTACGGGGTGGTGTATGACAGTTTTGCACCAATTCGGCATTTTTAACATTAGTAGAAACACGCTGGCCGACCAATAAGCGTTCTGTAGAGTCATCGTCGACTCCTTTGCCTAACCAACGTCCACAAGGGAATCTACAGAATAACAATTTAAAAGTTATCTTTTTTCTTAAGTTGCAAATATAAAATTTACTTGTATGTATGTCCAGTAACTTCATTACGCATTACTACATGTTCCACCAACCATTTGTTAGAAGCACCACTGTTGTCATGTCCTATACGCATGGTGGTTAATAGACCCAGATTTTTATACTAAAAGGAAAAAACTTGTAAAAACAGCTTTAAAAGTTATTGTAACAAACCACTTACATGAAATATAAATTCTAAAGATCCCTTCGGCACTGGTACCTTTTGGGTTTCATTTGAAGTGCCGGAAATTATAATCCATACATTACTGGAAGTATGATACGAACCATATTTACGCGAGGGAAAGATAACCACCCGATAAGGAAGTTCTACAAATATTTTGGGAAAATTTAACATTTCAGAAGTAAAGAATAGAAAATTTATGGCCAAACTCACTTGTTGTGGGATAGGTATTGGTGAAAGAATAATAATCAACTGTATTTAGTGTTAATAAATGATATAGAAATTGCTCTTTTTCTTCTTCGCATCTCAAGAAAGCCGAACGTTTATAGAGGGAACGCAATAGCGTATCATCCGATAGCAGAGTTCGAAAGTGTCTAGAAAGTAGTTTCTTCTCCAGCGACAGACGCACCCAGGCCCGGGTATAACCAATGTGTGTTTTTATATCTGCCATAGCCATAACATTTCTAGAAGAGAATATTTTAATTTTGAGTAAAACATGATTTCGAAAGTGAAAATTGGAAAAAAAGCTTTTTATTTAACAAAAAATTTTTCAGCTTTTTTAGGCTAAAATGTTTTTGTGAGTGAAAAGTCCATGTTTTTTCGAAAAAAAACTTTTTGGTAAAAAAGTTTAAAAAACTTTTTTGATGAAAAAGTTTAAAAAGCTTTTTTGATGAAAAAGTTAAAAAAGCTTTTCTTAATAATAAAGTTTAAAAAGTTTTTTTGCAAAAAAAAAAAAATTAAAAGGCTTTTTGGTAAAAAAGTTTAAAAAGCTTTTTGGTAAAAAAGTTTAAAAAGCTTTTTTTATGAAAAAGTTTAAAAAGCTTTTTGTATGAAAAAGTTTAAAAAGCTTTTTTTAATGATAAAGTTTAAAAACTTTTTTGATAAAAAATTAAAAAAAACTTTTTTTGATGAAATAGTTTTAAAAGCTTTTTTGATGAAAAATTTTAAAAAGCTTTTTTGCAAAAAATTTGAAGGAAAACTTTTTTTGATAAAAAATTGTAAAAGGCTTTTTTGCAAAAAAAAATTAAAGAAAGCTTTTTTAATGAAAAAGCATAGCTTTTAGGAAAAAAAACTCTATTAGGAGTTAAAAACACAAATTATAATAAGAAAAGAAAAACTTACTTAACATCAAATTCCAGCGACTCCGGCAATGGACATAACTGCTCAAGACCCACAAATTTATTACGATCTCTAGAACGGCTACGATTTGGACTAGGAGGATTATCAAAATCCGTTTGAAAAGTAGATAAATCTGCGAAAAAAAAAAAGACACAAATTTAAATTTCGACAACATTTCCTTACAACAGTTATTTGGCACTTACAGTCCATACGTTTACGCATAACATTCCAAGCTAAAGCTGGTGCTGCCACTGCATAACTGCTAGTTACACCCACTTTATTGCCGGATTTCGGAGAACCTCCAGAAGCATTTAAGTTAGGACTATTAGTTGAACTGGCATTGGAAGAGCGAGCATCTTGTAACTCTACATAAGCCTGTAAATGAGACCACAAAGCAGACTTGCCCTGTTTCGTCTGTAAACCGTGCGACCAAATTTTCTCTAATAAATCACATAGGGAAGCTATGAGAGTGTTCTCCTCAATGCCATCGTTTTTATTTAAACCTAAGGCCACGGCCTCAGTGCCCATTTTTTCCAATAACATGCGTTTAGTTTTACTTTTAATGTCCTGTAATAGAAAATTGTTTAGTATTTCGCAGTTTTTCTAATCAGTTTTATTATTAGGCTTGGCATTACCTTTAACAATCTTTCCACAAAGGTCCAATTTGCCTGGGCGATCAACGCCGGACTTAATTCGGTATTTGTTAAATTTGCCGATAAACGATTTAGTGCTATATTCGTTGTGGGTTTCTGATCGAAATTGATTTCTTTGGCTCGCCATTTATTGCCGTTTTTTACACGTCTCAAGCTATTACCTCTGTTAAAATAGAACAAAGGGAAGAGAAAAGAGAAAATTTTGTTGTTGTGTGGCACCTTGCATTTTGCTAATTTGGTATTTGTTGTTTTTTTTTTTTTATATGTATAAATATAAATAAAATTAATAAATAGTAGTACTACACAGTTACAAACTAATATTTTTATTTAATTTTACAAAAACTCATTTCTTATATTTCAAAATTACTTGTTTTAGTTTAAATCTACAGAGAAAACTTTAGCTTTTCCTTAGACACTTGTGAATAGCAACAGATAATAAGAAAACTTCTTTTGAATTCAAACAAACTTGAAAAGTTGTCATTTTGGTTTTGGTTTTTAAGAACTCACAGCATTTAGTCATTTTAACAAATCTCCTTTAAATTTTAATTAAAAACATAAATTTCAAAACTAAAATTAAATATTTTCAATAAAATATTATCAACAATATTTGTTAAAGAAAATGAAATTTTGTGAAATTAAATTTGTTAACAACAAAAACATGCTTAAACAATTTTTAAAACTAAACATTAATCTAATTGTATAATTGGTTTTCTAATACTCTAAATAGAAAAATAATACCATAATAAAACTTTTTTCTTTCATTTAAAAGGGCTTTAAAAATTTATTTTTTTTTTCGATTTTTTAACAAAAAACTTGTATGTAAAACTATTAAAGTGGAAGACAAAGAAAAAGTATTAAATAAATATTAAAAAAGAAAAACAATAGTCAACATTTATAATTCTTTTAAATAGATTTATAAAAAAAAATATCTTTACAATAATATATAGTAGTTTATATATAATAAATACATATATAAAATAAAAATAATATCAATACGTACATATGTAAGCTATTCATTAAATACACACACGTACGTACATAAATAAATACTAAACTAAATATTCGATACAATTAATTAATATCGTTTTTTTTTGTATGAATTTAGTTTAAGTTTGATTTTATCATTTTGTTTTCGTTTTCAGTGTAAATTACTAAGTTTAATATCAACAACAAAAATTTTTACTAAATAAAAAAATAATACAAACTAGTAGTAGTATTTGCTAAAAATGTGTGTATGGAAAACATTAGTTTTTTTTGCTAATTTGAGTATAAATCTTTTGTGAAGTACGAGAGATAATAAAATGAAATTGTATATAGTCTACCTCGAAGCACATTCTTGATTTAAAACACTTTTCTCAAGAATGGGAAAGCTGCGAAAGTAAGCTGCACGATTAGATAAAATTTCACTGGGTGGCGTTACTTCAATGTCCACACAGCTAAGACGTTTTTCGAAAACTTGTTGGGCTTCTTGACTAACAACGCAAGGCTCGTAGCTGGTGGCACAAATCATATTCTCACCATGACGTTTCCTATGGAATAAAAAATGTGTAGGAAGTTCAAAAAAATACCTTTTTAAAGTTTAGTATATACTATAGACTAGACTAAAGACTGGACAATAGTCTAGTCTATATTCTAGTCTATAGTCTAGTCTATAGTCTAGTCTATAGTCTAGTATATAGTCTAGTCTATAGTCTAGTCTATAGTCTAGTCTATAGTCTAGTCTATAGTCTAGTCTATAGTCTAGTCTATAGTCTAGTCTATAGTCTAGTCTATAGTCTAGTCTATAGTCTAGTCTATAGTCTAGTCTATAGTCTAGTCTATAGTCTAGTCTATAGTCTAGTCTATAGTCTAGTCTATAGTCTAGTCTATAGTCTAGTCTATAGTCTAGTCTATAGTCTAGTCTATAGTCTAGTCTATAGTCTAGTCTATAGTCTAGTCTATAGTCTAGTCTATAGTCTAGTCTATAGTCTAGTCTATAGTCTAGTCTATAGTCTAGTCTATAGTCTAGTCTATAGTCTAGTCTATAGTCTAGTCTATAGTCTAGTCTATAGTCTAGTCTATAGTCTAGTCTATAGTCTAGTCTATAGTCTAGTCTATAGTCTAGTCTATAGTCTAGTCTATAGTCTAGTCTATAGTCTAGTCTATAGTCTAGTCTATAGTCTAGTCTATAGTCTAGTCTATAGTCTAGTCTATAGTCTAGTCTATAGTCTAGTCTATAGTCTAGTCTATAGTCTAGTCTATAGTCTAGTCTATAGTCTAGTCTATAGTCTAGTCTATAGTCTAGTCTATAGTCTAGTCTATAGTCTAGTCTATAGTCTAGTCTATAGTCTAGTCTATAGTCTAGTCTATAGTCTAGTCTATAGTCTAGTCTATAGTCTAGTCTATAGTCTAGTCTATAGTCTAGTCTATAGTCTAGTCTATAGTCTAGTCTATAGTCTAGTCTATAGTCTAGTCTATAGTCTAGTCTATAGTCTAGTCCATAGTCTAGTCTATAGTCTAGTCTAGTCTATAGTCTAGTCTATAGTCTAGTCTATAGTCTAGTCTATAGTCTAGTCTAGTCTATAGTCTAGTCTAGTCTATAGTCTATAGTCTAGTCTAGTCTATAGTCTAGTCTATAGTCTAGTCTATAGTCTAGTCTATAGTCTAGTCTATAGTCTAGTCTACAGTCTAGTCTATAGTCTAGTCTATAGTCTAGTCTATAGTCTAGTCTATAGTCTAGTCTATAGTCTAGTCTATAGTCTAGTCTATAGTCTAGTCTATAGTCTAGTCTAGTCTATAGTCTAGTCTATAGTCTAGTCTATAGTCTAGTCTATAGTCTAGTCTATAGTCTAGTCTATAGTCTAGTCTATAGTATAGTCTATAGTCTAGTCTATAGTCTAGTCTATAGTCTAGTCTATAGTCTAGTCTATAGTCTAGTCTATAGTCTTGTCTATAGTCTAGTCTATAGTCTAGTCTATAGTCTAGTCTATAGTCTGGTCTATAGTCTAGTCTATAGTCTAGTCTATAGTCTAGCCTATAGTCTAGTAGTTAGTCTAGTCTATAGTCTAGTCTATAGTCTAGTCTATAGTCTAGTATAGTCTAGTCTATAGTCTAGTATAGTCTAGTCTATAGTCTAGTATAGTCTAGTCTAAGTCTAGTCTATAGTCTAGTCATAGTCTAGTCTATAGTCTAGTCTATAGTCTAGTCTATAGTCTAGTCTATAGTCTAGTCTTTAGTCTAGTCTATAGTAGTCTATAGTCTAGTCTTTAGTCTAGTCTATAGTCTAGTCTATAGTCTAGTCTATAGTCTAGTCTATAGTCTAGTCTATAGTCTAGTCTATAGTCTAGTCTATAGTCTAGTCTATAGTCTAGTCTATAGTCTAGTCTATAGTCTAGTCTATAGTCTAGTCTATAGTCTAGTCTATAGTCTAGTCTATAGTCTAGTCTATAGTCTAGTCTATAGTCTAGTCTAGTCTAGTCTATAGTCTAGTCTATAGTCTAGTCTATAGTCTAGTCTATAGTCTAGTCTATAGTCTAGTCTATAGTCTAGTCTATAGTCTAGTCTATAGTCTAGTCTATAGTCTAGTCTATAGTCTAGTCTATAGTCTAGTCTATAGTCTAGTCTATAGTCTAGTCTATAGTCTAGTCTATAGTCTAGTCTATAGTCTAGTCTATAGTCTAGTCTATAGTCTAGTCTATAGTCTAGTCTATAGTCTAGTCTATAGTCTAGTCTATAGTCTAGTCTATAGTCTAGTCTATAGTCTAGTCTATAGTCTAGTCTATAGTCTAGTCTATAGTCTAGTCTATAGTAGTCTAGTATAGTCTAGTCTCTAGTCTATAGTCTAGTCTATAGTCTAGTCTATAGTCTAGTCTATAGTCTAGTCTATAGTCTAGTCTATAGTCTAGTCTATAGTCTAGTCTATAGTCTAGTCTATAGTCTAGTCTATAGTCTAGTCTATAGTCTAGTCTATAGTCTAGTCTATAGTCTAGTCTATAGTCTAGTCTATAGTCTAGTCTATAGTCTAGTCTATAGTCTAGTCTATAGTCTAGTCTATAGTCTAGTCTATAGTCTAGTCTATAGTCTAGTCTATAGTCTAGTCTATAGTCTAGTCTATAGTCTAGTCTATAGTCTAGTCTATAGTCTAGTCTATAGTCTAGTCTATAGTCTAGTCTATAGTCTAGTCTATAGTCTAGTCTATAGTCTAGTCTATAGTCTAGTCTATAGTCTAGTCTATAGTCTAGTCTATAGTCTAGTCTATAGTCTAGTCTATAGTCTAGTCTATAGTCTAGTCTATAGTCTAGTCTATAGTCTAGTCTATAGTCTAGTCTATAGTCTAGTCTATAGTCTAGTCTATAGTCTAGTCTATAGTCTAGTCTATAGTCTAGTCTATAGTCTAGTCTATAGTCTAGTCTATAGTCTAGTCTATAGTCTAGTCTAGTCTAGTCTATAGTCTAGTCTGTAGTCTAGTCTATAGTCTAGTCTATAGTCTAGTCTATAGTCTAGTCTATAGTCTAGTCTATAGTCTAGTCTATAGTCTAGTCTATAGTCTAGTCTATAGTCTAGTCCATATTTCTATTATAAAATTGACACGAACAAACGGACAAAAGTGATTCAGTGAGTGATGACATTAAAAGCAATATTTCTAAAGATAAACACTTACCTCAACAGTTTAACTCGTTGATCGAAAGTTTTAAATTAGATTCGGGTTCCTTATCCCATACGGAGAGTATTTTATTATCTACTAAAGTAGCAAACATTTGAGATTCTAAAAATTGTGACAAAAACGGTCTATGATGTTCGGGTTGATCGGATAGAAATGATGATTTATCAAAATTCTGCAAGGTCTCACGATTACTTAACCATTCATCTCTATCCTGATTAGGATAGATGACAAAAAATTCATAAGCGAAAAACATGTGTACAAAACGATTGAGGAAAATCTCTCGTAGTGCATTGTTAATGCGTAAATCTTGATAATATTGTTCTTCGGGTGTTAGCTTTGGTGTTGCCTTAATCTCTTTACCCCTGGCTCTAGTGGGAGACATGCTAGCCGTGGCTACAGTCGCTGTAGCATCAACACAATCACCTCCTCCTACTGGTGATGAGGTGCGTACACCTTTACGCCGAAGGAAGTCCGCTATACGCGGTACATGATCAATTTTAGAGGGGTGAGCCACTAAAGGCTGATAATGTAAATTACTATGAGAACTACCATCAGGAGATGAGCCTAAAGTATAAACTGTTTCTTGTAATTGTTGAAAGCGTTCTTTGCTACGTCTTGCTGCCTGTAAACCACTGGGCAAAGTACAGCTGCTAATCATAACGTCATGATCACGTGATGCATAGCCATTCCTAATATTAGGTTCATGCAAACGATCACGTTCTATTTCAAATTTATCCAAAACTGATATAATTTCAGCCATAAAATCGATTTTATGTGGAAATACAGGAAGTTCTTCGGGTAATTGTATAATTTTCTTATCGATGTCTACAAACAGAGGGTAGCTTCAGAGCCAATCTTATTGGCAGCCTCACAATCAGCATGCAGACCCATAACAAAGGGAACAGGAGCGTCGAGGAAATGATGTAAAGCGGCTGGTAAAATGGGGGCATAGACATGAGGCCACACAAAGGGGAATAGTATAGAAGTAATACATTCACCTACTATCATTAATTTTTGGTAATCTAGAAAGGAAAGATGATTTTATTTTAATAAAAAATAATGTGAATATATAAATTTATTTTCTAACTCACCATTTGAACGTAAAAGTACTTGATTTTCTAGCAAAACGCAAGTTAATAATTGTATAACACACTCCACACCCAAATAGGTGAATAGCAGACGTAAGGGAAAATCTAATAAGGGTAATTCGGAGCGCGTATCTGGCCTCTGTAATGTTAATGCTAATGCTGGCAAATGGGCTTCTAAGGGTGGCAAGTAAATTCGTATAGATTTGCCTGGCTGAGGTAGCATTACTTCGTAGAGTATATTATAAACATAAGATTCGAGACTAATGCCTGGACCGGGTTGACGCGGAAGACATCTGGTAATTTTAAAATATTATTAAAAATTTAAATTTTCTTTTCTTAATGTAATTTTTCAGGTTTACCTATATAAATTTGTTAGAAATATTTCGGCTGCATATGCATAGGGTATTTGACATATTAATGTAATACTTTTGGCAACATAGAGTTTATCCTTAGTGATGTCATAGTAACTTTGTGCTGACTGTGGTGCTTGACCAGCCACTTTAAAATGTCGTGGCAAAGAACGACTGACAGGACTGTCCTTAATGCGTGTTAATGAATGTGTTTGTTGGCCATTAGAGAGTTCGGTTATAAACATGGACTGTTAAAGTTAAAATATGAATAATTATTTTTATTAATAAACTATAGTTTATAGTATTTCGTTTTTATTATTTAGGGTGCTGTTAATGTTATAATTATTACCTGTAATGTATGCATGGCACTGCATATATTACGATTACGTATTTCTTCATAGAATACTAAACTAAAACCATAACAACGTTTGCCATCTTCTCGAGTCGTTGCAAATGAATGAAATTTTGGTTCAATATTATGTTTTTGTGTGCGAAATCTCAAGCCTTGTGGTAAAGATAGCTGGAAATATAGACACAAATTTTAAGTATTTAAATTAAAAAAGAGTTGATTTGAAAAATATTTAAAAAAATGTTTTGAACTTAAATTAATAGCAATTTATCACAATTTGTAAATTCAAAATGAAAAAATTTAAAGAATTATCGAACATATCTTAAAAATCGCCTATTCCGAAATATACCAAAATTCATGCTTTATACCCTAGTCTGTATACCCTAATCTAGTCTATCTTCTAGTCTATAGTCTAGTCTATCTCCTAGTCTATAGTCTAGTCTATCGTTTAGTCTATAGTCTAGTCTATCGTTTAGTCTATAGTCTAGTCTATCTTTTAGTCTATAGTCTAGTCTATAGTATAGTCTAGTCTATAGTATAGTCTAGTCTATAGTATAGTCTAGTCCATAGTGTAGTCTAGTCTATAGTATAGTCTAGTCTATAGTATAGTCTAGTCTATAGTATAGTCTAGTCCATAGTGTAGTCTAGTCTATAGTATAGTCTAGTCTAGTCTATAGTATAGTCCATAGTCTAGTCTATAGTCTAGTCTATAGTCTAGTCTATAGTCTAGTCTATAGTCTAGTCTATAGTCTAGTCTATAGTCTAGTCTATAGTCTAGTCTATAGTCTAGTCTATAGTCTAGTCTATAGTCTAGTCTATAGTCTAGTCTATAGTCTAGTCTATAGTCTAGTCTATAGTCTAGTCTATAGTCTAGTCTATAGTCTAGTCTATAGTCTAGTCTATAGTCTAGTCTATAGTCTAGTCTATAGTCTAGTCTATAGTCTAGTCTATAGTCTAGTCTATAGTCTAGTCTATAGTCTAGTCTATAGTCTAGTCTATAGTCTAGTCTATAGTCTAGTATATAGTCTAGTCTATAGTCTAGTCTATAGTCTAGTCTATAGTCTAGTCTATAGTCTAGTCTATAGTCTAGTCTATAGTCTAGTCTATAGTCTAGTCTATAGTCTAGTCTATAGTCTAGTCTATAGTCTAGTCTATAGTCTAGTCTATAGTCTAGTCTATAGTCTAGTCTATAGTCTAGTCTATAGTCTAGTCTATAGTCTAGTCTATAGTCTAGTCTATAGTCTAGTCTATAGTCTAGTCTATAGTCTAGTCTATAGTCTAGTCTATAGTCTAGTCTATAGTCTAGTCTATAGTCTAGTCTATAGTCTAGTCTGTAGTCTAGTCTATAGTCTAGTCTATAGTCTAGTCTATAGTCTAGTCTATAGTCTAGTCTATAGTCTAGTCTATAGTCTAGTCTATAGTCTAGTCTATAGTCTAGTCTATAGTCTAGTCTATAGTCTAGTCTATAGTCTAGTCTATAGTCTAGTCTATAGTCTAGTCTATAGTCTAGTCTATAGTCTAGTCTATAGTCTAGTCTATAGTCTAGTCTATAGTCTAGTCTATAGTCTAGTCTATAGTCTAGTCTATAGTCTAGTCTATAGTCTAGTCTATAGTCTAGTCTATAGTCTAGTCTATAGTCTAGTCTATAGTCTAGTCTATAGTCTAGTCTATAGTCTAGTCTATAGTCTAGTCTATAGTCTAGTCTATAGTCTAGTCTATAGTCTAGTCTATAGTCTAGTCTATAGTCTAGTATATAGTCTAGTCTATAGTCTAGTCTATAGTCTAGTCTATAGTCTAGTCTATAGTCTAGTCTATAGTCTAGTCTATAGTCTAGTCTATAGTCTAGTCTATAGTCTAGTCTATAGTCTGTCTATAGTCTAGTCTATAGTCTAGTCTATAGTCTAGTCTATAGTCTAGTCTATAGTCTAGTCTATAGTTAGTCTATAGTCTAGTCTAGTCTAGTCTATAGTCTAGTCTATAGTCTAGTCTATAGTCTAGTCTATAGTCTAGTCTATAGTCTAGTCTATAGTCTAGTCTATAGTCTAGTCTATAGTTAGTCTATAGTCTAGTCTATAGTCTAGTCTATAGTCTAGTCTATAGTCTAGTCTATAGTCTAGTCTATAGTCTAGTCTATAGTCTAGTCTATAGTCTAGTCATAGTCTAGTCTATAGTCTAGTCTATAGTCTAGTCTATAGTCTAGTCTATAGTCGTCTAGTTCTCTAGTCTAGTCTATAGTCTAGTCTATAGTCTAGTCTATAGTCTAGTCTATAGTCTAGTCTTAGTCTAGTCTATAGTCTAGTCTATAGTCTAGTCTATAGTCTAGTCTATAGTCTAGTCATAGTCTAGTCTATAGTCTAGTCTATAGTCTAGTCTATAGTCTAGTCTATAGTCTAGTCTATAGTCTAGTCTATAGTCTAGTCTATAGTCTAGTCTATAGTCTAGTCTATAGTCTAGTCTATAGTCTAGTCTATAGTCTAGTCTATAGTCTAGTCTATAGTCTAGTCTATAGTCTAGTCTATAGTCTAGTCTATAGTCTAGTCTTTAGTCTAGTCTATAGTCTAGTCTATAGTCTAGTCTATAGTCTAGTCTATAGTCTAGTCTATAGTCTAGTCTATAGTCTAGTCTATAGTCTAGTCTATAGTCTAGTCTATAGTCTAGTCTATAGTCTAGTCTATAGTCTAGTCTATAGTCTAGTCTATAGTCTAGTCTATAGTCTAGTCTATAGTCTAGTCTATAGTCTAGTCTATAGTATAGTCTATACTCTAGTCTATAGTCTAGTCTATAGTATAGTCTATACTCTAGTCTATACTCTAGTCTATAGTCTAGTATATAGTCTAGTCCATAGTCTAGTCTATAGTCTAGTGGAGTGGAGAGGTTATTATGCGTTTGTGCTGATGTGAATAAAGTATAAAAATCGGCTGAGAATCACTTTATGAGTCCCCTTGATCTGATGATCAGAATTCACTTACTATAAACACTAATATCACTATGAAATTCTGCATATATAACTTTAATATAGACTTAAAACCTTCTACCAAAATTTTTAAGGATAGGCCCATATTAACCCCCTGCCCCCATATAACCCCTTTCTAGGAAATCTATTTTTTCAACAAATTGTTAAAATATTAAAATAAAAATAAAATTAAATGCATCCAAATTTCTTTAAAAGTTAAATTTTCTGAAAATATATTGAAATTAATAAAATCTTTTAAGGCCCATATTAACCCCCTGCCCCCATATAACCCCTTTCTAGGAAATCTATTTTTTCAACAAATTGTTAAAATATTAAAATAAAAATAAAATTAAATGCATCCAAATTTCTTTAAAAGTTAAATTTTCTGAAAATATATTGAAATTAATAAAATCTTTTAAGGCCCATATTAACCCCCTGCCCCCATATAACCCCTTTCTAGGAAATCTATTTTTTCAACAAATTGTTAAAATATTAAAGTAAAAATCAAATTAAATGCATCCAAATTTCTTTAAAAGTTAAATTTTCTGAAAATATATTGAAATTAATAAAATTTTTTAAGGATTGTGATCACTAGCTTAATTTATTGTAAGGATTAAATAGAAAGACAGGCTGAAGGATAAACATCACAAAATCTTAAAAAAAGTGAAGTTGAATAATTCACAATTGTCTACACACATATATTTACCAACTTATTATTACTATCACTGTTTAATAGATCTCATAAAAACCCAATATGTAGTCATAATAAAATAAAACAATAAATAACTATAAAAAAAGATTCTTAGATAACAAACTTCAAAGTATTTCTTTATAGTATTTTCAGTGTGTGTATTTACGAAAATGTTTAACATAAACAAGAAGTGAAATCAACAAAAAAAATCACTGAAATACTCTTATACTCAATCAAAACAGTTGAAATCAAAGTGATAAGTTTGTGTTTAAAACTGTGATTACATTCTAAAACCAGATAGAATATGTAAAGAGGAAATATAAAATCTTGTTGGAGATAAGAAACATGATTTTATTTGTAAAATTTATTAAAAAAAAATCTTTAAAATATGAAGAAGTTTGAAAATAGTAGTAGAATAATTAATTTTAAAAACAATTCAATTGTTATTGGAACATTTAAAAGCCTATTTAAAGTCGATCTATAAAACTGTTTTCTAATAAAAAAAAAGTAAAAAGTAGTTAATGTCATTGTAACTTTGTATTCAAAGCTCAAAGTTTTCAGCGTTTAAGACACTTAGTACAAGAATTAGGGTTTAACTTTTTAAAGAATAATTTCAGTTATATTTTACATTTTGGTTTTTATATTTTGTACTTTTTCTCAACAACGTTTTTTTTTATATTTTACAAAAATGTGTTTTAAAAGAATGTGTTGTACATAAAATATAATAACACAGGCCAACAAATTTTTAACTCAGACACCATTTTGACCTAAGAATATATATTCATCACATAGAGATATCACAAAACGGTAGTTTTGTTTGATATATACAGAATCCAGCTCAATGCTCTTGTCTCAGGGTTTTGACTTTTTTCAAATTTTGTTGGTCTGTGTAATATAAATAACAAAATTATATACACAAAAATTAAGTGGTAACCAGCCACCACCAGTCATGCAAAAAATTTATTTATAAATATATAAGATATATAAAAGTACTTTAGCAATAATTTTATTAAACATATACAATGTACTTCTACATTATGATTATAAACCTACAAATGAACAGACAGTTACGAACAATAGAGTAGGCTATTAGCGAAAAAAATGCAATTTTCTAAAATTGATCTTATAAGAGAGCCAGATTTGTAAGAGATAATAATTTTAACAATATATATTTGTAAAGCAAACAAGTCATACTCGGAAAATTCAGACAAAACTTAATTCCTCAGTTATAGTTGAACTGTTATAGCAAAATTTCAGAAAATATCAATTAAATCTTCTACTACATTTGTCTACACTACTGTATTTACCCCATCGGCATCGAAAAATACAAAAATAAAAAAAAATTTCACTTTCTATACATGTGTAGAGTATCTGTCTGAATATACAACTCAATACTTTAATTTAAAATACAAAAGCAAGGCTACCAACGAATCCAATGTATAATAATAATAGCAGACAGTTATATATGGGAGAATAAATTTATTATTATTGCTGCTGCCACTGCTATTGCTGTAGCGTTTTTATTTTTTTAATTGAACTCAATTGATCATCTTAAAGTTGTAAATGAAATTTTTTATGATACTGATGACGACGAAGATGATGATGATACACATACATTCTACATTATGTTATTTAATTAGAATTAAAACAATGCTTGTCTTTGTTGCAAGTTTTTACTGGGAAAATGTATGCATCTAATTATATTGTCTTAAGAGCTTTTTTCTTTTGTTGTCTAATTAAATTTATATTGAAAAGGGGTGCTTGGCGTGCATTTGTATTTATAAAAAACTATGTAGTTAAACCTAGTCTGCTGGACAAAAAATTTGTTTATGTTGTTTAACATTTTTTTATTATGTTAAAAAAAAAATTAAGAAAATTCAAATTTTCCCTCTTATCTTTCAATTAACTAAATCCTTCCTTATTTTATATGAAAAATTTCTAGATGAAGCTTTTAAATGTAGCAGTTATATATACGATTTCAAATAAATTACTTACCATACATATACCATGAGAATCAAATGGATTCCATGGTACATTTTCGGGATAATGGGCCAAGGGTTTGCTTTTATAAGCACGATCCAAGGGAGAGCAATGCAAGTTATCACCTAAAAAAAAACATGTAAAGAAATATATAAAAAACAAGCTAAAATAATAAAAATTAGTTTTAATGTTTTAGAACTCGATTTAATGTTATATTTTATGTTAAAACTAATGACCTAATGGTGATCTTATATAGGAAACCATTTCCTATAAAGATTAAACATTATTTTGCCTTTACTCTCTGCACACAATTTACATGGACAGACGGGCAGACAGACAGACATGGCTCTTAGATTAAGCAAGTTGTTCAGATTCGATTTTCGAGAACTTTTATTAAAACTAAACAAACTTATCTTATATCTATCAACTTACCGGCAAAACGATCAGGTTCTAAACCCGTATCCAAATCTAAACCACATATAACAAAATAATCCGCAAAACGTGAAAACTGAGGATCACAATCACGTTTTAATTGACGCAATTCCGCAGAACCAGGATCGCCACCGGGCGGTGATGTAGGTGAAGCCGATGACAAGGAACTTGGAGAAGTTGGATTACCCGAATCATTTGTAAAACTTTGGCTGGAAATTGAAGAATTTGCCATATCTAGTGTGTGCTGCTGCTGCTGCTGTTGTCCATTGTTACAACCGCTGCTATTGCTAGTAGTCTTAAGCTTTCGCATTACAACAAAAGGTCTAGTATTATTGCTGTTCACGGAGACATTGTTGGTGTTTACAACACCAGTTGTATTGTGTCTATCGCCATCGTGTTGTTGTTTTTTAGTAGGTAACGTCGCTTGATTATCAATTGTTGACGTGGATGCTGGTGTTGTTGTTGTTGCTGTTGAAGTTTTAATGGTTTCATTTAATGTTAAACATTTTCCCATTCGTTTGCCTACATGATCCGTAGACATGTTTTGTTCAACAATTTTTTCTTTACAAAATTAATTTCAATTAAGACCCACAGTGAGACTAGATTTTTACTTTTTTGTTTTTTTTTTCTTTTCTTTCTTTTGCTAATGGGGTTGAACTCTCTTCAAGGACACAATAAGAATTTTCTTCTATTTTTTCGTTAGACAATCACAATTTTATTTATTTTCATTATATTTCCAATTGGAATTGTAATATTTATTTGTTTTATTTTTATTAAATATAAATTCGCTATTATTAAATTAACAAATCAAAAATTTCTCTTTTGCATAAACTCTTTTTATGAAATTTGTGTCTATTATGTTTTTGTTTGCTTTTACGATTTTCTTTCACTCTTCATCATTTCTATGATGTTTGCGAAATCAGTGCACAATTTTTTTTGTACAGAGGAGAAAATTTATCTATTCATGTTTTTCCAACTTTTTCTATTAGCTTTTTTTCACTATTTATTCTCTGTACTCAATAAGTCTAATTGTAGTATTTTTAATATATGCATTTTCTTTCAATTTATCGTAATTTTATACAAGATTTCAATCAATTTTATTAATTAAACAAAAAAATCTTTACACAAAACTTCTCACTGCACCAATTTAATCAAAGCAACAGCGTTGTAACACTGAGGAGTAAAAAACATGAATACATTTGTATCAGGGCTGCAGAAATGGGTATTAAAAAAGGTTGAATGAATTAGGGAGAGCAGTATATCATACAATTTTTTCAATTTTTCTACAAAAAATACCTCACTTGATATTTTTTAATTATTAAATGGAAATTATCAAGATAAAAAGCACAGATTTGATTTGAAAGTTTATTTTGCTATAAACCAAGATCCCTAAATCAGAGTTTCAAAAGTAATTAAAATCTGATTTGTTTTGCTACATACGGACATAGTTATTGTTACAAACGTACAATAAATCTAAGTTCACTATATCGTAGTACTCCAGCAAATTGTACTTCTTTATCTTTTTATCAATAATATTTCAAATTTGACTATTTTCTTTCAATTCACTCCAGAGTCAAGAAGATATCAAAAAGCGATCAATCTCAACAAAAGTCTTTTGACTTTACGATATTAAAAATGTTCCAAAGGTTGATAAATTTAAAATTGTAGAAAGTCGAAAAAATCTACATTTTTTAAATTATAAAAGGTTGGAAAATTGAAAATTTCTTGTCTAAATTTAATCTGCTCAATCTAAAGTGGTAGCACCTAATAAATCGCTAGAATATTCCTTAACAGTTGTAACACTGCTTCACCCGCTAAAATAGTTGCAAAACCATCAAAAACTCACATGAAAATAGCTAAATTGTCATCACTGTATGCCGAAAAAGCACACTAAAAAAATGGCGTTATTTGCAACTCTCTTCGGCCTAGCCGCCGAACAAAATGTCAAAGCCGCCGCCGCCGAAAATTTTTCAGCTTAATACGGCTTAAAAATTTCGCCATATTTTGTCCACATTACAGACCACTTTCGCTAAATTTATGGAATTTTACAATATAAAATTAATTTGTTTTCATTAAGCAAGTTTTTTATTTATCTAATAATAAGCCGCTCATTGAAATTTGGCCGGTGTAGAACTTTGCTCAACGTTCGATGTATATGCTTCGCCTCAGATATTTTCGTGTTTTCGCGCCTAATTCGAGTCGCTGCTTTGACTTCAAACCAGCTTCGTTGACGTCAACGGAGCTACACCTTTTACATTGCTGGTATGTCATACCGTAAAGGGCTAGGGTATCGAACATGTGTATTTCAAATGGGAAGTGCAGTTGATGTCAATTCTGCCGACTTTTTTCGCGCCAAGCTGTTTTCTGCAAAAAATCTGTTGTTGTGTGTGTGCGGAAATCTAAAATGACAGAAATGATATTCTTTAAATAAAAAAATAATTTTTTACTAAAAATTGAAATTATCATTAATAATGGCAAAATAACATTAGAAGAAATGAGGAAATGTGTTTGGATTTGAATGAATATCACATCATTTCGAATGGCCTGTTGGAACAGGTCTGCATTATGCGTACTCAATTGGATCATCACAATTTTAATAAATAGCAAAGATCATCTTAGTATGCGATATATATGTATGTAAATCTCAAATCGAATTTTTGGTCTATCATTAAAGCCGCCCTTATTGATGGGATGTATCCTAATAAATGTATGTACATATGTATGCATGTGTATTGGATTCTAATGTTAATCATATTAAATCGCCCTGCAGAAGAGAATTCTTAAATTTAGACTCTATGATGAGTTTGTTGAATTTTGGTTCACCATGGATAGTGTACGGAAAAGAAACAAATAGTTCCAGTTGTAATGATGTACAATGTAATACTGCTGTGACGCCTATTACAGTTGTTGCTTTGTTTGCAGGTTTGTTGTAAGGTCCGCCTACAGAAAATGATTTTAACGTGCTATAACTAACATAAAAATGCCAGTTTTTATGATCGAGTTTTATATCAATCGAAATCTTTATAGGCCATAATTAACCCTGCCCCCCATATAAGGTCACCTTCAATAATTGATTTTAATAATACCATAATAAAATAAGTTTTGTTGAAACGAAAATATGTCTACCAAATTTTATGACAATCGAAGCATAATTCACCCTAAACCCATATGAGATGTTCTTCAGAAAATGACTAAAAACGCACAAAAATGGCTTTCAAATGTAGAAAAAAAAACTTTTTTAGGAACCGCAACCTATATAAAACCTAAAATTATGAGGATCGGTCCGCCACACAGTGAAAAATATATGACATTTTCATATAAAAAATCAATAACTTTCTTGTTTCTCTATATACATACATATATTCTTTAAAATCTAGACATGTATTAACAAGACTTTTTTCCGTCTTATTAATGAGTTTAATCAAATTCGTGCAGTGGGTATCCTTTTCACAGGGTGTTAAAGACAAATTTGTGTAGTTTTGTTCAATGGATAATGCTATTATTATGCTACTTTCACAATGAATTTTAAACTTGCACTGTTTATACCATACACTACTGTAGCGGGAGCGTGAATTATAAATTTTTGCTAATGCAAATCACGTAATACTTTACTTTAAAAAAGTGATACAGTAAATGTGTAGGGCATAGCTTCGCCCTGATAACAACTGAAAAAAATGAATTTCAAAAAGTCACCAAAATCTGGGATTATTGAACAAAAATTGTATATTTTAGTTTTTATGAAAAATTTGGAGATATTTTTAATATTTTTTCACATCTATATATACTATATAAAAATGAATGTGTGTTTGTTTGTATGTTTTAACGTTATAGACTACTAAACGGCTGAACCGATTTTCTTGAAATTTTCACAGCGTATTCCTGTATGTCTGGAATAGGTAATAGGCTACATTTTATTTTGAAATTTCAAGTGGGCGAGGAGCCACTCCCATCTTAAGAAAACATTAAATCCGTATATTTAAGATAATATAACGGTTAGAGTCCTCAAATTTTGCCGAAGCCACTTTAGTGTCAATATGATTACTTAGGACAAAAATTCGTTTATCTGGGAAACTAATAGAACTAGATTCTTCAAATTTTGCACGAAGAACTTTAATATTCATCGGAACATTTGGAGAAATAAGGGCGGACTTTCATCTGGGTGGGCTTGGAATTAAATAGAAAAATTCGTATATCTGAGAAACTATTAGGGCCAGAATCTTAAAATTTTACATAAAGAACTTTGGCGTTCATGTGACATTTAGAGAATAACGGGCGGACTTTCAATGGGGGTCTTGGCCCCCACATATATGAATTAAAACAAAATTTCGTATATCTTGAAAACTGTTACATTATTCCAATTTTTCATAGATAGATTGCATAAGTGGCATTGATTTTAGGGGAGTATTTTTGAATATGTGTTGGTGTGTAATTAATGTATGTCCTAGTCTTAGGGCCAATATTTAGGTGAAAGATTAGCGATTAAATTAAAATTAATCCTCGAAAGTCGTTTTTGAGTACTCAATTAGTTAATTTTGTTTGCAAGTTTAAGCGGCCAATGGAGGTGGTTTAAACTTAAGCATGAATGCAAAAGTGTAAACAGCTGATGCAAAAAAATTATACAATTTTTTATAAATATAAACATTAAAATGTTCTATTTATTGATTAGTATAAATTATGGACACTTCAAATACATTTTTTTTTGTTTTAAATTTAAGTTTTCATTAATTTTCATATTAAATTTAAAATTGTCTTCTTCTTTTTTATTAAACATGCATTGTTTTGATAACAAAGAGTGACATTTTCTGTTGTTTTGTATGGCATCACTGCGAAGTTTAATCTTGTACTCAAAAACATCAATGGGGATTAAATCAGATTAAATTTATTTTTAGATTAACTAATCTGATTATTAATTGGTATTTGATTGCCAACTCAAAAACCCGCTCTTAGGCGGCTATAGACTATTATATCACGTCTTGATACTTCTTCTGGGGTAAATTGGTGGCATTTTATGGGGGTTAAAAATTTTGTAATGGTGTTGATAGTTTGACCATTTTTCGGCTTCTTCATTCTTAATATTATTAAAAATTTTCCGTTTAATATCTATTTTGTTATGTAAGGGATATTTTATAATAGGGGCAGAAGCGGTATATTTTGCTGCTTCGTCAGCTAGTACGTTTCCTCTAATGCCAACATGGCCTGGAATCCACATAAGTTTGAATTTAGTGTGATAACTCATCAATAAATCTCTGATTTTGGAAATAATAATATTCTTATTAGATAGATTTTGGGTTGCGGTAATAGCTGATTTAGAATCTGAACATATTAAATATTTTCCAGCGGTGTTTTTGAATTTATTTAAAGTGTGAAGCATTGCTGATGCTTCAGCAGTAAAAATAGAGCAACTGTTATCTAATGAAGCAAGGAACTCTGTTTTCAGTGAATTATTAATAGTAGCAAATGATGTGGAGAAATTGGTTTTGGATCCGTCTGTGTATAAGATTTTCCAGTTTAGATTAGTGTATGATGTTGTTGTTTCATTGAAGAGTGAAATATATTCATTGTTTGACGTTGTATCTTTAGGTAAATGCATAAGATCAGAAATAAAGCTGGTGTTTTTCAATTTCCATTGGGGTTCTGATACTTGGTGTAGGATTTTGCTACTTACCACTAGGGGTCCGCGGACCCTCATTTTGGAACCGTTGCTCTAAAAGCTGCGAGAAGGCAAGCACTTGACTGGCATGACACACAATTGAAATTATTGTTAATGGATTTGCTGGCTGCCATGTTACCGCCGACAGCTATTGAAAATAAATTAACTTTTGTCATCTCGTAGTTCTCATCTCGTGGTTCGTTATAAGATACCGTTTCCCAAAATGTGTGTCCTTAGACCAATATTTGATGATCTGGATCAAATAATAAAAAGGAACTTTTTTAAAGTTTTTCCTATTTTATTTATGTTTCACGTAGAGGTATGATAATTAATTTTGATATCATGTGAAAGGTCTTTGAGAGGCGCTTTTAATTACGTATTAAAAATTAAAGTTAAAAAAAAAAACAAATTAAAATGTTATTTAGATTATTCAAAATTTTATTATATATGTAGATTACACTATGCGGCAAAAATAAAGGATTTGTTTTTAATTTTTAAGAATTTTTTCCATCCCTGCATAATTTCTCACACAACTTTTGTGCTTGCTCTATTTCATTGTTATAAATTATATACAAAGTCCCACTTTTTTATCTCTCAAATACCGTTTTTTTTAAAATCTTTGAAAATTTTAAAATTAAGCGTATATGAGAACTTAGCCGGCTTACAGTCGATTTTAAGCCGCCGCCGATATTTTTAGTGTCAGCCTCCGCCGCCGTTAATATTTGTCGGCGCAGGGCTCTGCTCTTGGAGTGAAAAAATTGTCATCACTGTATGCCGAAAAAAGCACACTAAAAAAATGGCGTTATTTGCAACTCTTGAAGTGAAAAAATCGAGCAAAAATTAATTTTTATCGTTTTTAGTGTATAGAAATTAATAAAAGAAATTTTAAACATAGTGAAAATTTATTGAAAAAGATACGTAATTATTAGAAATTTATGTAATTTCATTTATCAAGTTAAGTTTAAAGTGGCACTGAAAATAGAAGATAATCCAATTTTACCCCCACCAATAGAAATTTAGATTTAGAGAAAACTCGAGAAAGTAGAGCCGCTGCTGATCAAGAAAAAAACCTTCAACCATGGCCGGTGGCAATGCGCCACGCGTGATACAAATCACGAATATTGCACCACAAGCCACGAAAGATCAAATGCAGGCCTTGTTTGGTAACATTGGTAAAATCGAAGAGATTCGATTGTATCCAACCGTACGAGATGTCTCTTGCCCAGTGCAGTCTCGCATATGTTATGTGAAATATGTTGATAGCACCTGTGTGCCGGTGGCGCAGCATTTGACGAATACGGTGTTCATAGATCGAGCGTTAATTGTTATACCTGTGTTGGCAATACCGGAAGAATATCGGGCCTTGGAAATGTCGAAGAATGGTACCATTGTGCCGGGTTTGCAAAAACCGGATTCAAAATTACCACCGGAAGTAGTTAATCGCATAGAGGGACAATCTCCCCAACAGGTAAGTAAATGGCTGTATGTAAAGCGTAAATAATACTAAACATCATCTCTTATTTCAGGTCATTAAAACTTATGATCCCAAATTAATGGAAAACAACTTACCCGAGTATCCAGCCTTGCCCTCGTTTTACGACGCACGCAAGATTGAGGAAATAAGACGCACCATAATTGTGTGCGATGTTAAGAATGAATGGCGTTTGGATGACCTTATGGAGTGTTTTCAACGTGCTGGCGAGGTGAAATATGCTCGTTGGGCTGAAAAAGACAACAAAACCTATTGTATGATTGAATTTTGTGATCAGCCTAGCATAATTAATGCTTTGAAAATGCATGGCCAGGAGTTTAAGGGTGGCTATTTAAGTGTTTATCATTCGACGGATGCTATCATGAAACCGGAGGCCAAGTCGAATGAAGCTGCTCAAAAGGAAATCGAGGAGGCCATGACGATTGTTAAGGAGGCCCAGAACATGATATCGGCGGCTATAGATCCTGTGATTGGCATGTTAGCTAAGGATAAAAGACGTCGTTCCCGTTCTAGATCACGTTCGAGGGATAGACGCACTAGTCGTTCGCGTTCTCATCGTTCAAGGTCACGAAAACGTTCCCGTTCACGCACACGCAGGCGCTCACGCAGCAAGTCAAAACGACGCTCACGTTCTCGCTCTCGTAGCACACGTTCACGTAAGCGATCACGTTCCCGTAAACGTTCTCGCTCACGTCGTAAAAGCCGCACCCGTTCTAGATCCAAGCGACGCTCTCGTTCACGTGAACGCCGTAGTAAACGTTCTCGCTCCCGTCATCGCCGTAGTTCCTCTAGAGGGCGCCGTTCACGCTCCCGCACAAAGCGTTCCCGTTCTCGTGATCGTAAACGTTCTCACCGCACACGTGAAGAGAAGCGCCCAATACGTTCTTCACGCTCAACCAGCAAACGTCGTTCCATATCGCCCTCACCAGCCACTGTTCGGTCACGTTCCAGTCGCAGCAAAGATATCGGACCACCCATTATTAAATCATCTAATAACTCCTCTTCCTCTAAAAATCGTTCGCGTACACCGGCTGATCGTAAGCTTAAAACAATCTCTGAAGATATAGAAGTCAAGAGCACAAGATCTAGTGTTGATTCAAAGTCTCGCAAATCTGTCAGTGTTGAAAAATCGGACAACATGGATATTTCAAATTCACCATGATGATTATATATACAATAATGATAACAAACAAAGAACAAACAAACAACAAAAAAGTTTATATATGAACATAAATAATTATTTGTATTTTTTATTTTTATTGCCTTAATTTTAAATAATTACTTTTTCAAGCTTATGAAATTGTAGACCATAGTGTATTTCTCCTTCTACCTTAAAATTACATTCTAATTGTAGGTTTTTTTCTTATATTCCTATATAATTTTGTGTGTATTCTTTTGCAGCATAAGCATTTTTCTTTTGTTTTATTCTATCTTAAGTAAAGATAACTTACAATTTAATTCATATGTACTCGTAATTAACTAAAAGATACAACAAGAAGAGAATTTACTTTTAATTTTATTCCTTTAAGAAAGTGTTAAGTGTTTTTTTTATTTTTGGTCTATGGGGATGGAAGTTTAATTGATATTACAATTGGTGGTTTAACGAAGTTATTTCGGTATTGGTATTTTAGCGTTAACGGTAGTAGCTCTGAAAAAGTATTCTAGCGCTAATGATGACTTAACGATAACTTATATTTCGTTCAAAAAAGAACACAGGCACTGATTTTTGCCAGGGATGGAAATAGTTGCTTTTTGTTGGAATACCTTATTTTCGATCGTTGTGTAACTGAATGCGGAAACGTAATCGAAATGCAGAATAGGGTTAATTGTTTTTATATACATATTTCTGTTCTATTTTTTTTTTGAAAAAAAGTTAATTTATAATCCTGGAAGCATATTTTTAAGATAAACATTATAATGAAGTCGAAAGAACGACTTCTCATAAATTGCAAAGTCGAAAAGTTGACGTTTTTTCCCTAATATTTATCTACAACACAGTATGATAATTGAGCGATTTTTTTACACCTAAAATATTTTTTGTAACATATTTCAACAAACTAGCCTATATGCCCTAAGTCTAGTTTAAAACGACTACAGATATATAAACCTATATAGATTTCTTTACTTAGGCCGTCTAAGTCTAAAAAAAAAATCTAGGACGTCAATTTAAATTAATTATTCATATAAAAAGAAAATGTAAAAAAGCATTAAAATAGATGCCAGTTTATCGCTTATACTTCCAAGAGTTTTTCGGAAAGAAATAATTATGATTAACTCAGAAATAGAGTTCTATAAATCGACTTTCGAATAATCGAACAATCGACTTTTTGTCGAAAAAAGTCGAAGTCGACTATTTTGTTCCAAAAAAGTCGATAACTCGACTATCGTCTGTGAAAAAAGTCGAAAAGTCGACTTGTGAATAAAAGTCGAAAAGTCTGAAAGTCGAAAAAAGTCGAAAAGTCGAAGAAAGTCGAAAAGTTGTAAAAAGTCGAAAAGTCGGAAAAAGTCGAAAAGTCGAAAAATCGAAAATTGTAGAAAAAAAAAAAAAAAAAAAAAAAAAAAAAAAAAAAAAAGTCAAAAAAAAAAAAAAAAAGAAAAAGTCAAAAATAGTCGAAAAATTAAAAAAAGTGAAAAAAAAGTCAAAAACTCTAAAATAGTCGGAAAAACTTGAAAAAGTCAAAAATAGTCGGAAAAAAGTAGAAAGAAGTCGAAAATAGTCAAAAAGTCGAAAAAATCGAAAAGTCGAAAAAAGTCGGAAAAAGTCGAAAAAAGTCAAAAAGTCCAAAAAGTCGACTATTTATAAAATACTTATAGTCGAAAAGTCTAAAAGTCGACTTTTATTTAAATGAAAAAAGTCGAAAAATCGACTTTTAACTAAATGAAAAAAGTCGAAAAGTCGACTTTTCGTTTCAACTATAGAACCCTACTCAGAAATATACATACAGGGTGGTATTATTTAAAAGAAAAGGTTAATTTGCTAGGGTAGAGCTTTCCTATTCTAAATATGTATTGGCAATTCGCGAAATTAAATGAATCACTTTACATTTGCACATCGTTGGGAAATATTGTAAAATTATTTCCAAAGTGAATCAATGCAAGTTTGTTGTAAAGAATTCATAAGACAGGCTGTTTTGTGAAATGTATATATACATTGGTCTCTGGGTTCAACTTTTTTCATATTTTGTTGACCGTTGTTATTAAACAAATTTTAATTTAGTTTATGTTAATACCACTTACTAATTTCTCTCAGTGTATTTGCTGTTTATCGCCATCGCTGCAATTATAATCATTCTTGAAATGAACCGGAGAGCGATAAAAAAAGTGCAGGCAGACTTTTGATGAATTTTCTTTGTTCATTCTCTTCATTTTCTCTGAACGAGAAAGACGTGTGAACGGTTAAATTTTATTTTTTCGTTTTCTTTAATGCCAATTTAAATCATATAATTATAAAAAGTGCATTATATTAATAAATAAACAAATTCATTGAAAAGTTTGTCAAATTGTTGTGGTATTTCTACGAATAAATTGCTTTTAATATATTTGGATAATTGCTAATTACAAGAATTAAATTTAGAGAAAAAATCTAGCTAGAAGAAAGATAAAAATTCAAGGAAAAATCGATTTAGAATAACGACGTAAAAAAGACAGCGTAAAAGTAACAAGACAAAAAGGAATAAAACAAAAACAATCGAAACAAAAAAAAACAAATTACGTTACGAAGATACTGGTACTTGGGGAAAGAAAAATTGGGTGGAGATTCATTCATTTTGTTTTTTGTGGTGTCAAGATTTCTAATACTGATTAAAGAGTTAAGAGATTAAATATATTTAGAATAACATGGCTGATGTAGAATCTTCAAGTGCTGTCCAACAGCCACCTTCATCCACTACCAGTGGCCATATTATACCCTTATTGGCAGCAGCCGAAATCTTAAATGATAATAATGCTGTTTTACAGCAACAACAGGCTGTAGCTCAATCGGCTACCATATCCTTGGCCACTGGTACAGCCTCTGGTATGGCCTCCGCTTTAATAAGGGCTTCTTCAGCCTCCACTTCGGCTAGTTTGACACAACAACAGAGCCAACAGACATCGAATGACAATAATGGTTCTGGTATATTAATACAACAACCACAACTACCACCACCAACACGCCAACAACAACGGCTGAATGCTAACGAACCACTAGCAAAAAAACAAAAACTCGATCATCCGTCAACATCGTCATCATTGACGGTGCAATCAGCTGCTTATGAGAAACTTGAAAGTCTTTGGGTGGTAGATTGTGTTGTGCGGTGTGTTTGGATTTACCCAAGACCGCTATGTATCAGGTGAGTTGAAAGTTGTTGAATCCGGGGAAGATGTAAGAAAAAAAATTTTAAGAATATTTTTTAGGAAAAGGTTTATGTATTATGAATTTAATAGGTATTAAGAGAAAAAATGGAATGTCTTCATAAAGGTTAACAAAATATTGGTAAACTTTAGGCTTTCAAAGGTATTTTGTATCATGTTTTTAGAATTGTGGTTTCAGTCTGAGTAAATTTTTGGTGGTTTTTGATATTTGTTATGTATTTTGAAAAATGTTTTATTAAATTTTAGGTTGTAATCAATTTAATTACAAAGTGATTGTAAGAATACTGGTTGCATTAATTGATTGGTTCAAACCAGCATATCTTATCATTTAATTACAAATCTTAATTAATTTAACAGTAAAACGTCGACGTCATTAATATCTTTTATGGTATTAAGGAATTTAAAAAGAGTTTCTTTTGGACCGAGGTATATAATAATTATTCTGTCTTTTTCATTTATGTAGGGGTAACCAAATGTGTTTGTTTTTATTATTTCATTTGATTATGTAGGTTGCTTGTGTCTCTCTATATTTTGTTGCGACGTAGATAACAGTTCCATGCCATAGTGTCTAGTGTTTTTTATACAAATTGTCAATAATCTGGTTTATTATTTGTAGAAGTAGTTTTTGCTAATGCAAAGAATAGAAACGTAATTTTATTTTGTTTTCATATTTATAAATTTACAACCCCTAAATAGCCCTTGGTTAGTTAGCAAAAAACAAATAAAATGCGCAGTTTATAATATAATAAATTAATAAAAAATATTAAATATAACTATAAGACTTTGTTTTTAGCTAAATTATTAATAAGATGTCAAACTTTTACATTAAACATTTTGAACAGAAAATTAATGCATTCTTTTAAGAATGGGAAGTATATTTCTAGAAATCCCTTTTTTTATGATTAAGTTCAAGTATTTAATTCAAAATTCTATACATATGTATAAATAATTTGAATATGTATATGTTTGTGATATAAAAAATCGTGGTTTAGTTTAGTTTAGTTTAAAAGGGTTGTATATCAATGTATACATCCACTCGGAGACCCAATGGTCCATTGTGAATCCCTTTAATAAAGAACAAGGAGAAAACAGAAGAAAACAGAAGAAAGGAGAGATGAGAAGAGTGAGATTTTCCCTCCAAAAAGAGAACAGAAAAAAGAAGTGGTCATGGAAGGGAAATCCTTAATTGTCTATTAACTGAAAATCCAAAAAGTTCCCCTAATGAAGCCCATAATGTCGCCTAGGTTACACCCTGCTACATCTCCTAGTTCATCGTGGAATCCTTTACCTAGCCATTTCAGTCTCAGACTCTGTAATCTGGGACAGTGGCATAAAATATGCTCTACTGTCTCCAGTTCTTCTTCGTCCTCACACAACCTGCAAATATCCTGTGTGTTACCGACCCCATTACCCCTAAAGGCTCCAATTGAGCAGTGTCCGGTTATTACCCCTACTAAAATCCTTGTACTCTTCCTGTCCAATCCTAATAGCATTCTGGTTGCTTTTGGATTTAACTTCGGCCATAGTGTCCTAGAAACCCTACAATCCAGTCTACTGTACCAGGATTGGTTGGTGGTTTTTCTGAAATATTCGGAAATTAGCCTATAGTAATGACAAATGGGGGGTTTTACCGAACTGACCCTTCTATCGAGCTCCAGATCCGAGCCCTGTCGGGCCAATTCATCTGCAATCTCATTACCCTGTATGTCACAGTGTCCCGGTACCCAACACAGCCTGAGTGTGTATAACCTGACTAACCCTTCCAGGTCTCTTTTGCAGCTGTTTACCAAGCTAGAATGTAACGTTTTACACTGCAAAGCTTTAAGAGCTGCCTGACTATCAACATAAATCGTCACTTCCGACCCCCTGGTAATGTGTGTCTTAATAATATCCACGGATTTCCATATAGCCAGGATTTCCGCTTGAAAAACGCTACATTCGTCCGGAAGTCTGTAGGACACTCTTATATTGTTGTCTACCAAATAAACCCCGGCACCTGTGCCAGAGTCCATCTTGGATCCGTCAGTGAAAACTGCACACCCCTCAAACAGTACTTCGGATCCTTCCCACTCATCCCTACTAGGAATCACTATTGAGGGTGTTACTCCGAAGTCCAGGGTCGTAACCAAATGATCAGAAATACCCTCCGTACTTCCCTCAATTCCTGTTAGACCTACCTCGTACAGTATTCTAGTGTGGCCTACCCGCTTTGGTCTTACTAGAGCTGATTCAAACAGTCTGAATAAGTTCCTAGCCGCTACACTCTCAACATATTCTCAATTGGGAGCAGATTTAGAATAATATCCAATGCTGCTTGCGGTGTACTGCCCCTGGCACCTGTTATGCCGATAGAAGCACACCTTTGAGCCTTACTGAGTATTAATCTATAGCTGCATTTCCTCATTCCTACCCACCACACAGTACAACCATAGGTAATGATGGGCCTTACTACCGACGTGTAAATCCAATTTACCATGTCTGGTCGCAAACCCCAATTCTTACCAATAGAGTTTCTGCACGTGTAATAGGCATTGAGCCCCTTTTTAAGCCGTTCCTGTATATTCTTCTTCCAAGACAATTTTTGGTCGAGGAAGGTCCCTAGATACTTGGCTCCTTCCGATAATTTCAGTTCAACGCCGTCTAATCTCGGCAAGCTAAAACTCTCAACTTTATATTTCCTAGTGAAAAGTACTAGCTCCGTCTTAGATGGATTCACACCCAACCCATTCCTGTTTGCCCAGGTTGATAGATCACTTAGTGCTGACTGCATGACCTCACTGATTGTCGGGAGAAATTTACCTTTGACCAGTAGCACCACGTCATCCGCATAAGCGACTATCTTCCTACCTTTAGATTCAAAGATCCTTAGGATAGAGTTGACCGCCAGTAACCATAGTAGGGGAGATAACACTCCTCCTTGTGGTGTACCCCTGGTAACTCGTTTGCGAATCCTATCATCCCCTAAGGTTGAGTTGATAATTCTGCTATCAAGCATCGATACTATCCAACTCACTAGGAATCCTGAACTCCGAGTACGACTAACGACTCTCTGATGGCCTCTATTCTAATGTTGTTAAAGGCGCCCTCTATGTCTAAAAACGCGGCTAGAGTATATTCCCTATGCTCTAAACCGTGCTCAATACAACCAACCACCTCATGTAACGCACTCTCAACCGACTTACCCTTTAGGTAGGCATGTTGAGCGTTGCTAATAAGACGGGTATCTATATTGCTCCTGAGATAAAGATCTATCAGACGTTCTAAAGTCTTCAGTATAAAAGACGATAGGCTGATAGGCCTGAAATCCTTAGGTTTCGAGTGGCATGCCCTACCGGCCTTAGGAATAAAGATTACCCTAACCTCTCTCCACCTTCTTGGAAGGTATCCCGTGAGGAGACACCTCTTGAAAATATCAGCTAGAAGTGCCAATGCGTCTTCAGGAATATTACAGAGCATGGCCGGAAAAACACCATCCGGACCCGGTGATTTATATGGGTCAAAAGTGTTCACCGCCCAGCCCAATTTGTCCCTAGTGACTATTTCATCAATATGACCAGATGAATAACTAGAAGCCCCAGGTCCTTGGACCCCCTGACTTAAGTCCCTATCATCTATTAAAAAAAATCGTGGTTTTAAATAACAAAATTGAAAAACAAAATAATTATTTCCAAATAATTTCTGCTGTCATAGTTATTTGATTGTATAACAGTTCTATTTGTTAAAAAAATTTCCCCACTAAAATTAACACTAAAATATTTCAACAACCACATACTTATTAGTATAAGTTTGTAACTCGAGGAAAATTTTAGAATTATTAGAAAAATAGTCATAACATTTTGACTCATGATAATGATAAATTTTCTAATGAAAACTACGTAATAAATTTCACTTCTCTGTTGCTCTTTTTTTTCATTTACCCAGTTTACAGTTTATTTCAAGTATTATTGTAAATCAAGGTATTTATTATTTTACAAAATAGAGAGGAAGTAAATTACGTCGTTGTTTATAGTTTTTTTTTTTGTTCTAAAAAACCTGCTCAGTTCTTATTGCAACTTTTGTAAATACTATATACAATGTATGTACATACATTCATATGTATGTATGTATTGAATGTATATACATATGCATGTTTGTATGTAATATATTCATAAGATTGTATATAGTTTTTTACGTTTATTATATTTCCACTAACATTTTTTTGTATCTACCAGTTTGACTAACAAAGAACATTTTAAAACTTGCTGTTGGCATATACAAAGGTATTGAAAATTCACTTTTTTTTTTTAAATATGACTAAAAAGTTATAATAAAAATTAACTCAAAATAGCTGTAAACATACGACAGACTTTATAAACAAACATATGATTTCTGTATAACTTTTTGTCTTTGTTTTATACCTATTTATTTATCATCATATGCCATCATATTGCATTTGTTTTTATTTGTAAAATTTCCTTTTCTCTCTATCGTTCTACGTTTTAAACGATATAATGTCAGCAAGTATTGAAAAAGTATACTATGTATACCCATGTTCACATACATATCTGAGCAAATATACATGCAATACACCAACGGAAATTTGTTTAAGGGTATTTCGTCTAGTCTATAGTCTAGTCTATAGTCTAGTCTATAGTCTAGTCTATAGTCTAGTCTATAGTCTAGTCTATAGTCTAGTCTATAGTCTAGTCTATAGTCTAGTCTATAGTCTAGTCTATAGTCTAGTCTATAGTCTAGTCTATAGTCTAGTCTATAGTCTAGTCTATAGTCTAGTCTATAGTCTAGTCCAGCGGTTCCCACCGTTTTTTTACTTCGCGGACCCCTTGAGGAATTTATTTAATTTCACGGACCCCCATACATATTTTGATATCTTATTGTTATAAATAACACTGTGATACAAAAGTGAAGAAAAATAAAATGCAGTCGTTCTCATATACCAATTCTATTTCGTTATGGTCCATAGAGTACGAATATATTTTTA